ATCACTTATGTAATATTGAATGCAAACATTTAATGTTCTTATTCAAATGAACAATCTATTTCAATTTGAACAACAAGAAATTATCATTAAAACAACTTGTAGATGAAACCCAAGAAAGAATATATACATATATATACATAGGCATAAATAGATAGATAGAAAGATGTGTGGATAGATAGATAGATAGATAGATAGCTGCAGATATTTTAATTCATAGTTAGATAATCTTGAACAGTACTGAATAAAAAACATGAATAATTACATTTTCCAATGTCTTGGAAATATCATCCGTAATTAATCTTAAAATCAGTAATTACTGGAAATCATTCTAGGCATATAGATTTCCTTAATTCTGCAGATAGGCTAATGTGTACGGTTCCAGTTATTACAGGGAATTTGGTTCTTCAAATGATGGAAAATCTGTAGAATTAACAGAAAAGTAACTATGACTGGTCACCGTTCAGTTCCTTTGTCAATATTTCACATTACAATTTGTTGATAATGTAAACATAACTTCCACAATACTAGGTATGCTATAAAACGAGGAGACATAACCTGTAGAGTTCAGTTATATTGGAAGTAAAACAGTTATTACTAATGACAATAAATGTTCATTTAAGTATATCGATAATTAATTGAGTTTGGAGATGTAAAACATTAAATTGCAATTAATTATTTCAATAATACCATGTCGATTTTTTATCCTCCTATGGAACTTCACAGTAGTGCATACTCACTATAACCATAAGGGTAAAACTGAGGGATATAACACTAACTTTAACACACAAAGACAACATGCCTTTTGTAAAGCCTATAAATCCTGAGTCAAATCTCTATCAAAGTCATTGATACACATAAACGAAAAGTCATATACTATGATGAAATAGTTGGTTTTTTTTTCATATTAATTGAAATGTACCCACAAAACGTAGAATTGATTCAGTGGAAACTTGTCTAATTTCAATATTATATTTCCCATTATTTAATCAATTCACTTACGTAATAAAATACTACAATATGATCAGGTCAAATAAAAAAAAACTGTGATAAATATCATTTATACAAATCATTTTGAAAAAAAAACATACAGACTGTTACTACTTCACTAACATATCTTACTACCGAAATACTTGGTATCATTTAACTTTCCTAAAACGTATATTACTTTCAAGAGTATTGTTATTATTAACATTATTATTATTTTAATAGTTGAAATCATGAGTCAATTGAAGCTTTAAGAGGTATATCCTTGAGTTCTAGTGAGAAGCAGTGACCACTGGAGTTCAACTGGGTCAGTTGTGAAATAGGAACTCACTGATGACAATGGTGGATGTGTCACTCAATTTCGTGGATTAGTTGAAGTTAGACATTAACACCGTTGGTCTAGTGGTCAAGCGCTCGCACACGAGACTGATAGGTTGTGGGTTGGAATCTCGCGAGGCGGGATCAAGGATGCGCACTGTTGAGGAGCTCCACAATGGGACGAAACGGCCGTCCAGTGCTTCTAGGTTTTTCATGGTGGTCTAGCTTCAGTCGACTCATGATCTCAGTCGTTTAAATCACTAAAATCTCCACAAGACCCCTTCTGATACTATTAGTATTAATATTATCAATTCAGTTTATTAGTTATTTATTTAAGCACATAAATATTAGTACAAGGTGGCACCAAATACATATTTGACATACTTCGTCATTCGAATTGTGTGAGGTCTGGGATACTGTCCAGTTGCTCAAAGTGAAGTAGGTAGTTTTCTTAGGGAGCCATACCAAACGTTTTATCCGTAAAGCAGTGTAACAACTTTTAGAGATGCAGTCCCATGGTAGCCGGTGACCAACAATAGGTTAATACGCCATCCGTTCCATCAGGATCCGGGAGCCCATAGGCACCATTGGTGCGGAATCAGGGTTTTCTCACTCCCTTAGGTGAATCCTCCGTACCCACTAACCCGGTTTAAGTGTCGCACATTCTCTTTTCGTTCTTTTAATTTCATAAACAACACCCCCGCCTCAAGAAGACAGTGAGTAGGACTTCCCTGACAGTGCGTGTACATGCATGGCCACGTGAGAGCATTTCGAGAGAGAGAGAGAGAGAGAGAGAGAGACAGAGCTGACTCCCCACTCTCGGTTGTACCAGGGATTATGATTTTGTTTACTGATTTTAAACAAAATTCATCCAGAAAATTTAAAATATACGTGAATTACCAAAGTAAACATAATACCTCCTTTTGCTTCATATTCCATTTTTAAATGTTTCTTTTATCTTTTTACTAGCGTTGACATCAAGATAAACTATTCTTTTCCAGAAATCAAACAATTTAACATTCATATTCCCCAGTGAAATCAATTTTTCTTAAATGTTAAAAACATAAAGAAACTTGTCAATAAGTAACTTAAGACTTAAATATACATAGTTATTACAAGTCCTTTGTTTTTACTAAAGAACTAGTATTAAGGCAGCTCTGAAATAATCTATTCTAAATAATATTGTAAACACTGTACTTATTTACGATATTCCAATCTTCTTTCTCTCCATCTCTCCCTCTCTGTGTATTTACTTGTATTTGACGAGTTTCACTAAAATTTTATTAGGTATCAGTCACTTTGTAAAGTTATAAACAGTTATAGATTAACACAGTGCTACATACATAATAACGATTACGTGTGTACAGCTCACTTAACTTTCATTTATCCAACACACATATACACACAAACATATTTACTATTTCTGTTAAACGTTTTCATTTTATTTCTTTAGAATTTCTATCAACTAATAACAAAAATGTCACTTCCACCCCCTCCCTCCCTTACTGTATTGATATTTTATAATATAAAACTCTTCTCTTTTGAGAAACATGGTGAGTTATACACGTGTGTTTTTATATATTTGTTTGTATCAATTTATAGTTGACATATATATATTAGTTATCAGTAATCACGCAAATACTTACAAAAATTGATAAACAGATTGTACACCCTATATAGGATGACTAACTTTTGTAATCTGTAATAGGTTAACTCATTTAGTTATTTTTCTTAACTATCCAAAATAATAAAACTGCCCATTGAAATTACTTCTTTTTCATGAACATTTATGTATATCAGAAGGGGTTTTGTGGAGATTTTAGAAATTTCAGTAATTGAAATCATGATTCAATTGAAGCTAGACCACCATGGAAAACCTAGAAGTACTGAATGACCGTTTCGTCCTAGTATGGAACTCCTCAACAATGTGCATTCACGATCCAATCTCGTGAGATCGGAATCCAGGACCTACCGGTGTCGCCCACGAATGTGAGAAGTATGAGTTAAACACCTAAAGATTTATTACGTATGAAAATTTGTCATTCATAGGAAGATTAGTATATGCATATAATAAGCTTACATTGTATTCTGATTTGTATTTATGCGACTACTATTATTAGGAAGAGAATGTAGTCATACACCCTTTCGTTAATATTTGATAAATGGATAGTAAAAATAATGAAAAGATATACTAACTTATGTGTGAACTATTAATTGTATATTTTGTTGGTAGTTTAATGTAATCAGTTTGATTGAAAAATTTACATTGTGAAGAATGTTTCGACCTATACATAATCTTCAGACTATCAATTTAATGTATGTATAGTATTACAAATAGACTGGCAGAAATATCAGAATATCTTGACCGAAATCACTTCATACAGCATAAATAACATAATTTATATTATGGACCGATTGAAGCTAGACATTAACAGCGTTGGATATCAACTCAGTAGTTTGGAGGTTGGGCATTTGGGAGCGAAATTGAAGGTCGTTGATTGAATTTCCGCATGCACGGTCATGTATACACTCTGCAGGGGAGTTCGATTCTAGAACGAAACAGCCGTCCAGTGTTTCCTGTTTTTCAATGTTGGTCTAACATTGATCAATTCATAATTCCAGTGAAAATAGTATAATCATTTAAGGACTGTTGATATTAGCTAAAAATCGAATTCATAATAACAGATCATTAGTTAGTAGTTTTACTCAACTCGGAAACACTTTAGCATCATCCACTTCAGTAAATTTATAATATACCATATTCATTCACTTGCATTAAAAGTCAACATCCAGCCTTGTTTATTTTTTCTTCAAGACAGATGTTCCATTACATTATCTTTCATTCAATCCAAACTAAGGTACTAATCAATAATAAAGGACCATTCAGCTAGGTGATTGATCAAGACAGTTACCGGTAGTCACACAGTACAAAATGCCTTATTTACTCAATTGCTTGATTTATAGAACCATGTGAGACATAACTGAAATATCAGCACTAAAAGACAGATACATCCAGTCGATAAGCCTTCAATATGGGATGAAATAGTTATTTTGTATTCTACTCCTAGTCACATATTAAATATGATATATAAACTCTGTTAACCTATCAAGTAACTCCATTTCATTTTGATATTATTTATAAAATAGTATTTTTCTAATATCAGAAGGGGTTTTGTGGATATTCTAGTAATTTCAATGGTTGAGACTGATAGGTCATGGGTTCGAATCTCGCGGGGGGTGGGATCGTGGAAGCGCACTGCTGAGGAGTCCCACAATAGAGCGAAACGGCCATCCAGTGCTTCCTTTTTTTCCATGGTAGTCTAGCTTCAATTGACTTATGATCACAACCATTGAAATTATTTTTTTGTTGAGATCTTTTTTGTTCAAAAATACCAAAAAAAATTCTTCAATCACGTTAACGTATTATCCAATCAGAATTCAGTTAATATTAGCCAATGATCATCAAAATTGTGTTATTGTATAAAATATTTACTCAATTCTGATTGGTTAAATAAAATCCAACGTTATTATTAGATTTCATGTCTATATTATTGTAAATAATATGATACATATGTAGTTACATGTAAAAAAATTTGTTATTTTACCTTTTATACTACTGAAATGAATGGGGTTTTTTGTTGTTGTTGTTGTTGTCGTCGTCGTTTTTGTTGAAATCTATATAAATCTATATTTAGAACCGTTAAACTTGATATACATTAATAATTATTCTCTTAAATTCAGAACAAAATTTATCAAATGGCAACTTTACCAAGTTGTATGTATTGGACATTTACTAATACTGGTTTATTAATACAAGATTGGTTATTAAAACCAGTTCGACCAATTAATTTAAATGAAGCAATTCATCAATTACATTTATCATCTATTATATATTCTAATAATCAATTAATTAATTCCATTGAAAGATTTAATGATAATACTACAATATATAATGATAGAATACAACAAATCATACAAATTATATTTTATTTTAGTTTACCATTATTACCAGCTGCAACAATTCTATTTGCTATTGTAAATATATTTATTGAATCAAAACATTATACATGTCCAAAATATACCTTATTTACACGTCCTTATATACAAAATTTATCACAATATTTAATTGTATTCTATATATTAACATGTATTAATTCATCATTAATATGGTTAATTATATTACCACGTTATATACCAATGTCATTTGGATATTATAATTTAATTAATAAGAATTTAACATCTTCATATATAGATATATTGAATAATAATAATAATACACCAAAATTTATAACACAATTACCAGCTATGTTAACAATGCAAATTGTATTACGTTTAACATTATGTTGGTTAACTATTGGTTTATTAATTAATCGTATTTATATTTTAAATGAATTACATATGAATCCATTAAAAAAATCATTTGGATATTATATAAATTATTTATATACATTAATAAAAGATAATTTAAATGAAGATCATTATTTAACTACATTAAATAATCATAATAATAATAATAATACTGGTACATTATTGAATGATAGTGAACAACAAAATCAACCAATGAAATCAATATTTCAATATTTATTCAAATTTGCCACCAATTTATGTTCAATACAAAAATGTCCAATATGTAAACAAATTAATTATAATTGGTCAGATGACTATATATGTTTTATTTGTAAACCAAATTATAATAATAAAAATAATAATAATATAAAAATATTAAATCAACAAATAATTAAAAATAAATCAACAAATAAAAATATTTATTTAAGTAGTATACTAAATATGAAGAAAATAAATTGTACTATAGTTGGACGTTTAATATTAATAATAAGTTTATTAATTACATGTTCATTAGCAATTTGTTTACCACAAGTATGGTCATATCAATTAATTGGAATTAATTTAAAAATTAAGTCATTTAATCCATATATTACTACTACTACTACCACTACTACTACTAATGTAGAACAAATTAGTAGTACAAGTAGTAGTAATAATAATCATGACAAATATTATCCAGCATGGCGTTTATTAAATAAAACTGGTCAAACATTATATGAATATTGTTTTGCAGCAATTAGTTTTGTTATACCATGTTGTACAATTATTGTATGTTTATTATTATTAATAATACGTCTATTAAAAATGAAATATGAATTCAATCATATTATATTACATAATATTAATTTTAATAAAAAAGATATAAAATTTTATAAACTATATATAAATATAATTAAATGTTGTTTAATCTATTTAATACAAGATAGTATATTAATATTAATTATAGGTATTTTACAATTGTGTTGTACAATACCATATTTAATGACAAATTCAATTAATCGTTTAGAATGTTTATTAATAAGTAATCAATCAAAAAATCAATTTATACCAATTTTATCACCCATAGCAACAACAACTACTACACCAGCAACAACAGCATCAGCAACACCAGCAACAACAACAGCAACCATAGCAACTGAATCATATTGGCCAACACGTCAAAATTGGTTATTTATAGAAATGAATAATTTATTTGGTGATTTTTTAATTCAATTAATTATTTTATCTGTACATTTATGTGAAACAAATTATTTATTAATAAATAATTATAAATTTAATAATTTTGACAAAATTTGGTTAAAATATATAAATAGAAATAAACAAAATACTAATATGATTCAATGTCAACATAATAATTATGAATTAAATGAATTAATGAAACTTCATGAAATCAATGAAAAAATTATTGAATATCAAGATAATTATGAATGTAATCAACATGGAAATAATGATGGTAATAACGATGATATTGATGATCATGGTAATGGTGACAGTAATGATGATGATGATGATGCCGATGTTAACAATCTTGATGATGACAATAATCATATTGATATTAATATTGAAAATGGTAATAGAAAAAAGTTATATACATATCAAATGAAAACACCAACAGATAGTGGACAAACAAGTAAAAATATATCACCATTACCTATTTCACATACAATATCTGATGTACTTTTATCACCAAAGTTTCGATCAAAACAAACTATTTATAGATTAAATCAACAGTATAGAACACATCGATCTACACCATCAACTTTACCATCTCCATTATTACAGCGTATACCAGAAATGATCAATTATGATCCAACATATCATTATCAACAGCAACAACAACAACGTAATAATAACTGTAATAGTTTTACAACAAAATATCCAATTAATTCATATGTCGAACCAAAAACAAATATGGCTAGTTTAACATATTCACCAAGATCACGTCATCCTTGTCGATTACAGAATAAAATACTACCGAATGATTCAACCAAGTTAATTAACAATAATAATAATAATATTCATTTGTCAAATCCATCATCTTTAATTCAATCAACAAAATTGATCACAACACCAAATATGAATTTGACTCGTATTCAACAAAATCGACAAATCGGGAATAATTCACCACCACCATTGCCTCCTCCACCAAAACATTTAATATACATGCTTGGAGGTGATTCATCAATCTATTCAACACCGCATGGATCACCACAACAAGTAAATACACGTAAACATATGATCTTAAATAGCTCTAACAGCAATACTTCTAATAATAATAATAATAATATTTCAGTAGACTACTCGCCAGATTTATTACATGTAAGTAGTATTTCAAAACATGAAAGTTCAACAACTGGAAGTTTCCGACAAACTGATTCAGGTGTTACAAATATGGGCGGTTCATTAATTGATAGTGAACAATATGAAGCAAATACAATCGTAACATGATTTTATCCTGACTAATTATTTTTATGAAGTTAATCATTTGAAATGAAAACATCTGACAACATCATGTTTATTTCCTGTTTTCTATGTTGTAAGGAAAATTTATTCTTGTTTTTAATTTGTAAAGGATGTATATACATATACTCTGTTTTTGTGACGTGGACAATATCTTAACCAAACAAAATGATGGATGTTTATCTAAAAAGTGCAATATTATGTAAAGATTGATTTGCCGTTCTCTTTTTATGAAACTGTTTACAAGTTACACTTAGATTTTTCTAAAATAGACCACACAAAACAGCTGTTTTATAACTTATTCCATTGTCATTTTTAATGTTATATTATATACTACTTGTAAGTAAATTAATTTATTCACTTCAATTTTAACCAAGAGATTGATGCAACACAGTAAATAAATAAATGATTTTATTCATTAAAGCACTTTAAGTAAATATGTTTCCTAAACTATTGTTGACTTCATTATACCTATCGACAGTTTTCTGGCAAACTGAGACCAACAAAGTTAGGTCGACTGTATGTAAAACAGTTATTAAGCATTTGGAATCACTGTGAACCACCCTTCATCATTAAAACAATGGCTAAAGCCAGGTAATTACATATTTGTTTTTCCCCTAAATAACTGAATAATATTTTTTTTCTTTGCAGGATCAGGAAATTCTAAGTTAAATACCATATAGGGTTGTACATGCATACTGTTATCTGTGAGTGAGAACTGAAGATCTTGAGTTTGGTCATCAGTGAGATTATGAATGAGTTCTTTAGTGAGAACTAAACAGTTGTTCAGTGTTTTCTAATTTTTATAAGTCTTCAAACCAAAATCAGTTCTTGATGTAAAACATAAAAAGTCAAAATTAGACACCTGTTTAATTCAACACTCACTCAACTCCGTTTTTTCAATGTTTTTTTCAGCTAATCTCGAATCGTGGTGAACGTCATCACAAAATAATTATTCCAAAAATAAATGAACAGCTTTTGAATGAAAAATGTCTTACTTAAAATATCCCAGGTTATTTCTGTAATTTCATTAATAAACTAGTCAAATAACACTCAAATGTGTCTGGTTCGAGTTCTGATGTGAACATCAACATGAATGCGGCAGTTAACTCCATCTGATGAGTTCGAAATGGAACGTAACATGCGTCTTAGTTCCCACTGCTGGTCATGATTCATCTGTTTCATATGAAACTAATGGTAAAATGGATATATCAAAGCATAGGATATACAAAGGTCAACAAAAATTAACTAGGTTTGTGTGTCGAAGAATGTTGAAACTTACGTTCTGGAGATTTTAATATTCTTAATTGACATCATAAGCCGAATGGACTCTAACTATTGTCTTAATCAGCTTCAAAAAGTTCTTTCAGTTAGTGATTTGGTTGGTTCACCCAAGATTCCAGGTGTGTCACACTTACGGACGTCAACTAGCAAGTAACATATATGTAGGTTTTCTCGCTGAATAGCTTCAAACAATTAACATCTGTAGTGTCCCAACAGGTGGAAGTGGTAATAAATGTTATGACTTTTAGTGGCTGTATATCTGACTCCTGTTAAATCATATAATGATTTTTATCAAAATATACGTCCCACCAACCTTCGTGTATTTTTGTTAACTTAATTCGCGTTAGAAAATAACGGGATGAAATAAGCCAAATACGGGAATGAATTTTTAATACGTATATTTCATACATTTATTGATCCGAACAGACAATCAGAGAAACGAAGTGATACACAGCAGAGTTGGCTCACTCGCCCTTTCCGCTGCGCGTCACTTAGTTTCGTTCCGCTTCGTTTCCTTATATCACCCCAATGTTTTGGCATTAAAAGAGTCAATTATTCTTCAGAGTGCAGAGTGCCCTGAAATATCCACAAAATTATCATAATGTTTCGTCAGATACCGCGATCGACAAAGCAGAATTAAGAGACTGAATTAACAGAGATATATTTAAGCACATGGTCAGGGATAAGCTAAAGCATATATATAGTTGTGTCATACAATGCATTATGTACAATTGATACATATAAACAACACATAGAACACAAATATAATTCCATATACAATGTTACACATCTAAGAAAGATACAATATACAGTTTAAAATATGAAAATTATGAAATTTTCCTACCACAATATATCCAAACGTACTGCGCACGATGTAAAGTTACTTAAACAAGTGGCCACAATCCAACTTGATTTATAAAACTCGATCTACAGTAATAATAGACTTAGCATTTATGATACCAATCACTTCTTAGTGATCGATCAATTGTAAATACATCTCAATTCTGATGAAAGGTCAGTCACAGACCGAACAGCTCAATGGTAACGTCTCCGAATGTGAAGATCGATGACACATGAACAAATCAGCTAGGGAGCACCTTGCTATCGTGTGTTAAGTAACATGAAACCTAGATCAAACAGTGTTTTTTGTCGACTACCTCTAACCACGACAGATATCAAGCCACTTAGACTAGTAACCAATTACAATTTGATCGATAGAATTCAATCAATACTAAAAAGGTCTAGACTAAGCAAGCAACATATTAGTCACTAATCAATAATAGTTGATTAATTAGTCCTTAGTTCGTTGTATTTTTATGTATACATAACTCACAAAACCACATAGGGGAAATTTTGTGGATTAGTGTAAAATTTCTATATAGTTACTAACTAATTCCCAACAAAGATGTTTCTATACTGATAATCAATACAATTTCTTATCGTAACATTGATAAATATACATAGTAATTTATCATATTGCATTTATAGATGACTTGTCTTCTTCATATACAACCATAGTGATAGCTATCATAAAATGGGAAATAAAAGTTATTAACTAATATCCTACATAAATATTAATCCGGAAACTGAATTCCTGTTTGTTTGGTTTTCTATAAGACAATCTATATTACTTATGAGTATCTAGATATAAAGATTATAAAGGAAAGAAACTCCATTGATAATAAAATGTTATTTTATTGTATTGAGTGTCCATTTCACAATATGTGATATATGTTGTTTATTATTTTGTCTTAACTAAAATTGTACATTAAATATTGTTCATTGTCTAATTCCTGCCCCCCTCCCGATCCATCAGTCTACATTTAGGCTGTAGTGAATTGTCTCTTTTTTTCCTTATAAAAAGTAAATACATTCCATTCTTTTGATAACTTGTTAGTAATAGCTTGTATATTATGAAGTCAAATGAATAGCTTAATTAACCCTGATTATATCAATATGAGTAACTGTTCTATGCGCTTACTGTCAAAATCAAAATTAATTAAGACAAATGAAGATTATGTGATTAAAATTGAAAATGTTATTGTAGAAAATTGTACAGTGAATATTTGTGTAAGACTATAAGTTTATGGATGAGCCAATCAGAAGCGTTCGAAGGATTTCAAGGTTACAGAGTTAATTTCAGTAGCTGATGTTCAATGTACAATCGGTTTACAGGGGATTTTAGAGAATATCATTTATTTTTGACTGCGGTAATCAAATGACTGCTGTATCATGTGCAGACTACCGTGATAAGATTGTCTTTCGATGTTATTTATATTGGAAGAAACTAAACGAACATCAATAAGTTGAATGATACAGGTTCAAATCTCTCAGAGAGTATCAGCTGATTCAAAGATGTAGATGTGTCTTACTAATGACTGCCGACTGATATGAAATATAGGTAAAGTAGGATTTTCTACTAACTAATTCCATCCACCTAACAACTCAGTATAATTCATGTAATATTGAGTCACTTAGAACAGTCCTTACATTGTAACTTGATCAGTCAAATTTGATCGGTACTAAGAACGACTAGACAAACATGCAATTTATGACTACTCAGTGATCAAACAGCTGTAGATAAACATCAATATTATTTCAATTAACTCATGATCTCAACTATTGAAATTACTATTATGTCCACACAAACCCCTTCTGATAATAATCAATATATGCTCGCCAGTGGCTGGCTTCAGGAGGTATTTCTTTAAGTTCTACTGAGAAGCTGTGACTAACAGAGTTCAACCGTTTTTGTCGTGAGATAGTAACTCACTAAAGACAATGGTGGATATGTCGCTCAATGCCATACAATGCTTCCATATTTTCCATGGTGGTCTAACTTCAATTGACTCATAATCTCAACTATTAAAATTACTACAATATCCACAAAAACCTCTTCTAATAATATTAATATTATTGTTGTAATGAAAAAGAAAATAAAAAGTTTTACTGTGGCGACAAAATAACAAATAAAGTTAATTAATTCTGATTTTCAAGTGTTACATTAGGAATAATCTCATTTTGATACATTTAAAATAAAAGCATTACAAAGCTTCATTCAAAATATTACATTCGTGATGTATATGACTTTTATTCTACTCTCTATTTGTGAATTGATTGTTAGTGAAAATATACTTTGAATAAAATGAAATTTTTTCCTAACGACCTAAGAATAAATTCATTATCATTATATTTGTTCAATACTAGTTCAATTCATCTAATCCCTAAAGATTACATTCTATTTAACGATGATATACATATATCTAGAGGTTAAACGTTCGCGTGTGACCGCAAGTCTTGGGTTCAATTCCCCGTTGTAGAGTCATGAATGAGCCATGCTAAGAAGTTGCATACTAAAACGAAACAACTGTTTAATCCTTCCAGGTCTTCACTGTTTATCTGACATAGATCGCTTCATGAAACCGTAGATACATAAAATAATAAAGTTGTTTAGATTCACTAATTTCCTCAATTATCTAACCAAAAATGTTAAATTTCATGATCATTATGAAGCGAAATAACTTTTTATTTATGAATTGACATCGCTTGTAAGGTTATTGAAAATTAAGTGTATTCAATTAAGTAGTATGTTTTAATTTGAAGCAAGTTCATATTGTACACCAACAACTATACACAAGATCGAACTTGGAAATATCAAACTTCATAGATAAACGTAGTTTCATTCAGTCACTTAGTTACAATAT